TATATATGCTTTCATTTATTCACCGACATTGGTTTATCGTTCGTGAATCTGATTTCTGGTATAAAAAATGCAAGATATTAATGGGCAAGGAACACACCTCTGTTTAATGTACAGCGGCTGTAGATAGCACTCGGTAGCTGACTGTGTGTGATCAGCCTGCCGACCGTGTGCAGAGAATGGTAACTCATCTTGGATATATGCGTATAAGTATCCAAGATCGCAACTTTATCGCGGATTTCTTGCGCGTTAAACGATTATTGATTACATATACTATGTATAGTGGCACCTACACGACCTCCATTGACCTCACTACTACTGCTACAAGTCCCTGGCCAACGAAAATAAATATTCACGGAAACACTTGTGTTAAGTCTTTCTGTTGTTGACATGCTCCTCTGTGAGTCAGTAAATAAAATTCGAGTGACTCTAAATAGTCCATGCTGAATGCAACTTTGGGTTTAGGGTTTAGATATTCTTAGATGTTTTTAATAAAAAAACCGCCTACACTACAACATAGCCTTCTGCGTCGATTTTTTGGAAGGCTATGTAGGATAAAAAAATATATGCCCTTCTGTTTAATTTTTAGGAGGCTATTATATTTTTTATGCCATATATAATGTTTATGTTTTTTGATTTCAAAAAATTTGTTTTTGACTGTGGTCACAGGTGACAGGCAGACAGCCCATGGGTTATCCTCATTACGTTTTACGTTATTTTTAGACCCTTCCCCAATTCCACTGTCATACATTATGTATTTTATACTGTTTTTCCATATGTAGCCCGTTAAAAAAATTGTTTACCTTCAACGTATACGCAGACTATCTTTTTTTTAAACGTAAACGAGGTTTAGTCAACAAATATTCTTTTATTTATTTATTATGGTGCACACAACCAAGAATCGGGGTCTTCCGGGACCCGAATTTTAAGCATATGAGATATCATGAATATTGGCAATCGGATTTCTCGACGGTTCTGAGCTTATCTCATCGTCCTAAAAAAGGGTGAGCTGGTTGGAATTTGGATTGTAGCAATATTTCAGAAGTTGGGTTTTGAAATTATGCCATATCATCAAAATGTCCACTTGTTGGCCTATATGAGTGTGATGCCTTGCCCCAAATGACTAAAACTGATCGGATTTGGACTCCCCAGCTCACCACGTGTCGGGACAACAATTGTCAGAAATTTCTGACGGTCATTTCTTCAACAAAAAAAAAAGTTCCAATTTTTACTTCAATTCCATGAATGGCGACACTTTACATGCCATACAAACGGCCTAATAAAGTATGGCAGATACCGAAACACAGCCTAATGAGGCAACTCAACTTGCAGCAATGAAAACGAGTCAGAGCCAGACAGTTGTTATATGTGCTCAAGACGAATCTCATCCCTGTAAAACCGCCACGAAGCTTAACTTTGAAAGTACACAGTCGCAGATAATAAAATACGAACCACACCCCGTTGTTATTGAATACAGCGAAAGTCAAACACAACCGCATAATACAACGCAATTGTTCTCTACGATTGACAATACTGTTGTTGAACCAATTGTGAATGCGGTTCAAAATCACGACCCAGTTTACGTTGTGGGACTGAAGGACACGCAATATGGACCAGATAATAAAGTAGGTGACCTACTGACTGTCAGAGACTTTGAATTTGCAAAACAATCTAATTCACGTGGATATTTGGGCTTAGGAGTCTTCATACGATTAAGGAAACGCGATGTCCGAGTTGGGATGGTCTGTTATGAATAATATTGACGATTTGATTTACTAAAAAGAAATCTTGAAGTAGTATCATTTTTAGTAAATCACGTGACAGACGCAATAGACGTCTTAGCTATACGATAGGCTGTATGGCTAAATGTGAAATATGTTCGTATCGGGCAGACTAATGAAAAATCTTGCGTTTTATTAATTTGTATTTAGTGTGTCTACAAATTTATCTATTGAGAGAGATATTCTATTGAAGACCCTTCTGTACGATCTGTATTTATGCTACGCAAAAAAGCAGCAATACCAGTCATCCCTTTTAAGCAAAGGTATATTTACCTGTAAGAGTGTCTTGCAAACTTTCTGATTGTAGTCAAAGGCAAACTGTCTAAGGCTGTAAAAAGCACTTTTCGTAAGCTTTCGTAGTAAAAAAGACAATTCTTACGGCAATAGACCTTAACTGAACACCAGTATCTTTCTATATAGTTACACTCGCAGTGATATTTTGAAGAAAAAAATATACACTTGAAGCCATTCTTTTCGAATATTTCTTCAAGTAGAGATTTGGTCTCTCGACAATCTGACTATGTAATATTCGGTCTCTTAAGGCGATATTAACGTCTAAGAGTAGTTAAACGTAATAAATTCTTCTAAAGCTGAAATGAAAATAAAGCAAAATAAACGTAATTAGTCTTTTAGTAAAGTTAGGTTTGCCTCGTGAAAACAGCTATACTCTGAAGGATTGTGAGGCTGAGACATTTAATCCTCTCAGTACTGTTTTCGCCGAAGGGATATTATTTAGTGTTTCGGAAACTATGGTATGTTTCGTTGGGGCGAATTCGAGAGACTCATAAAATACTATCTTTAGAAAAGAAGAAAGATAAAAAAATATACTCTTGATGTCCATAGTTATTGCATTAACCAATGACTTGCCACTTGTCAAGCATTACCGACATAGCCTTCATCAGACTGGCACATCTGGTTGGCTGACCGGACGATAAACTGAGCAACGCTAATAATCCTTAGAAACCTATGTTGGGTTGAGCCATCTCGCTACGAAGTATTCAAATATAATTAGATTTGGGAAGCAAATAAAGTTCTATGAATAGCACTAGACCAAAACTTATGTTTAGTATTTTACTGGGACCTTTTAATGGCCTTGTCCAAATCCAAGGCGCAGCGATTGTACGACTTCCAGGTTATGCATGTTTTCTGTAAGAACATAGGGAACAACGACTGTGAAAGTCTGTACACCGAGTTACGATGCAAATACGCTACTGAAGCTTGAGACAAGGGACATGGAACAAAGTTTCATGTCATTGATAGTCCGCTTGAAACAGTTGTATATATAAGTTTTGATCTATCAAGACGATATAAACGCCTCAGAGTAATTAAACGCTTAGGTTAAGTCGAAGTATAGTTAAATTCGAAATAAATAAATGAAATGAGTCTTTTAGTAAAGTTAGGTATGCCTCGTGAAAACAGCAATACTCTGAGGGATTGTGAGGCTGAGACATTGCCTGTATATAATCCTCTCAATACTGTTTCCGCCGAAGAGATTTTATTTAGAGTTTCGTTGTCGCTCTAATAGAAACTATGGTATGTTTCGTTGGGGCGAATCCAAGAGACTCATAAAATCGAATCTTATAGAAAAAAGAAAGAAAAATACTCCTGATGTCCATAGTTATTGCATTAACCAATAACTTGCCACTTATCAAGAATTACCGACTTAGCATTCATCAGACTGGCTCACCTGGTTGGCTGAACGGAGGATCAACTAAGCAACGCTTATAGTCCTTAGAAACTTATGTTCTGTTGAGCCATCTTGCTGCCGAAGTATTCAGATATAAATAGATTTGGAAAGTAAATATAGTTTTATTAATAGAACTAGACCAAATCTTATATTTGGTATTTTACTGGGGACTTCTAATGGCCTTGTCCAAATATCTGATATGTATAATGGAAAATGTATTTAACTAATAAAAACCGTTAAAAACCGTTTAAGAGTTTAAGAGTACGTTTTACGTACAATTAAGAGTACGTTTATATTACAAGATTCTAATGTGGAGGCCCGGCTTTTACACCTGGTTCTGTGTAGTAGATGAAGTAGCTTTTTCAAGAACGCCAGCAATGCGAGTGAGTACTTCATTCGTATCATCGAATTTGCGGTTCTCGGATATTTTTTTTCTTTATCTTGGGTGGCGCGATATCATCTTCGCCGATTGAATTATCAGTGTCTGTAAATTCAGCCGAAATAGGCTCTAAACTCTGTCAGTGCGCTTGCCATTTTGTGTCTCTTTGTCTATCGACTTGCATATTAGCAGGCGCAGATAAACTACTAAAAGGCATGTTCGGATCTGCCATTGCGCTAAACATCTCTAAACTGTTATTATCGCGGGCATAGGAATAGACTGCAACCTGTGTTATAGAGTTACCAACAGCATGTATGACATTAGTTCAGTGAGCAACATACATTTAAATTAATTACCTAAAGCGAAGGAGAAATACTAGTAATACATGAAAGATATTTACATAAGCATTTACATTCCTACATGCACTAGAATATATCTGTAATACGCATACATATGTACATATTTATATACTTTAATATATACGAGTTGAAACTTAACATGCATACAACACACAGTACGCACATATATATTATACTGTAATAAACCAGGCTTCCACATTAGACTCTATGTTATGAACGTACTCCTAAGCAGTACAAAAATTCCTAAACGTACTCTTAATAGTACGAGGAACTCAAGTTTCCTAAATATGCTCTTAATAGCACGAGGAACTTAAGTTTCCTAAAATCGATTTTAATGGTTTTATTAATTAATACCTTTTCCATTTTAACATATCATATATTTGGATGAGGCCATTAAAAGGCCTCAGTGAAATACCAAATATAAAGAGTTGGTCTAGTTCTATTAATAGGACTTTATTTACTTCCCAAATTATATTTATATCTGAATACTTCGGTAGCGAGATGGCTCAACCGAATATAGGTTTCTAGGGTCTATTAACGTTTCCTAGTTGATCCTCCGATAAGCCAACCAGATGTGCCAGTCTGATGATGGCTAAGTCGGTAATTCTTGATAGGGATAATATTATTTATTTCAAAAATGGCAAGTATGTATAATACAATGTATGAACATATGGTATGACTCTCGTAGTCGCTGTAGTGGTTCAGGAAAGATTGATGGGAAGAAGTGGTCGTGTGTGTTCGAGCGTATATGATTAAGAAATGTGGTGTTATGCCAGGTTTCAACCACACACATTACATCAACCTGACTTAAAATCGATATAACGTTCAAACACTTATCTGTATGTGCTGCGTTGTCCATGTTGAGTCCTTGTGGGTTGAAGAGCGTCATCCTCATTGGGCCTTAACATTGTTCATCATCGGTCAATACTACTGGGCTTTCCTCTTTGACGATGTCAGCCATTTCTATATCATTGCCTGTCGTCGAAGAGTCCGTCGTGGAAAGCTGAGGCTGCGCCTGATTCTTTAGCATTTATTGGTTAAAACAATAACTATGGACGTCAAGAGTATTTTTATTTCTTTTTATTTCTTTTTTCTACAGATAGGTTTTTGTGAGTCTATCTGATTCGCCCCAGAATAGAGCGACAACGAAACACTAAATAAAATCCCTTCGGCGGAAACAATACTGAGAGGATTATATATAGGCAATGTCTCACCCTCACAATCCCTCAGAGTATTGCTGTTTTCACGAGACAAACCTAACTTTATTAAACGTCTCATCTCGTTTATTTATATCGATATTAACATGATACTTACAACTTACCTACGCGTTTATTTATTCTAAGGCAATAGTATCGCCTTTATGAGACCGAATCTTACAATACGTAGTATACATAGCACTATACCTATAATAGATACGTGTACATAAAACACATATATACATATATACTCATACATGTTGATAGTTGTACCTGCTAAGAGATACGCATGCATATGTACACATATATACACGAGTTGAAACTTAACATGCATACAACAAACAGTACGCACATATATATTATACGTAGTATAGATAATAGACATATAACATATAAACGTGCACAGACGTAGAATACATATCACACTAGCATACGATCATGTGCAAGTAATAAAAAAACATACTTGGTAGGCATTCTCCGCAAGCACAGTAGACTGGCGGCCTGGCAGCCGCTCTTACTCTGCTTCAGCCAAATGGAGGCGTACTCAGTTCGGACGTCCTTCCACACCATAAACAGCTTCTACGCCAAAGTCGCTTTATATTCGCTCTCATCCTTACAGGATGCGCGCACCGCATAAGCCATAGTAAGATCCATTGGATCAGCTTTATTTATGGCATCTACAAATAATTGCTTATTGGCTAACAACACGGTCTCCTTCTTCAACGTCTCAAGGTCCTTATCCCAAGCAGCCATATTAGGCAATGTCGGATAATTTGGCTCAATCATAGTCTCTCTCGTTTCTCCAACCAACTTTGCCTTTTCCATGGCCTCCCTATTATAACAGTACTCCGGATTACAGTAATGCTGTGCAAGTTTAATCCAGCAGGGATCCCTCCACTTTACCTGCCTGTTGTCGAGCATGGCGTGGTTCTTATGTCCCTCTTTTGAAGCCATAAACAACGGCTTATGCATTGGGTCGTAGAGCATAGACATCAGCCGGCATACTGAGCTGATAGTCCACCTCGCTGCTGAGGGTCCTTAGTGTCCTCAGTAGCGTTCATCACAGCTTGCTTGTTGTTATCGGCAGCCCTTGCTTTCTTGTCGACCGGGTTGAACGTCAGTGGCGTAAACTTACAGTGTGGTTCAAATTTGATCATTCTGCTGGCCTCATCGTTTAGTTCGGTTTCTTTTGCTGCAAGAGATGGAGCAAATCGTATGACTTGGAGTATTGGGCGGCATCATAAGCTCCTGTGTTCATAGCATACTCTGCAGTCAAAACAATATATTTATGCTTGTTCTTCTCTTCTGCAGCCCTTCGCTGATATTCCTTCCACATATTAACCCAAAATAATACTAAGTAATTTGGCTTCACCTTACGTAGTACTAACAGAATCACTGGATTATCTGGCTCAGCTGCTGGTAGAGGTACTCCGGTAGCCGTTTCCACGTTAGGTATATCATCAGTGGGCATTGTTTGTGACTCATCAGATTGATCATAGCTAATAACTGGGGACAGTACCTCCTCTCCTTCGCTCTCACTTGAATTATCATATTGATAGTCTGCTGATTCCAAAGCCTCACAAGAATCTAGATGTTCAGTTGTCGTTGTACTACCATATAACACGGGTATTGAAGGCAAAGGTTGCACAGTTGCCATTTTGCGCTTCTTCACCCCGGCAGATGGTGTTGTAGGGTCAGAATCAGCGCAAGAGTACTTGAAGGGGCCGTTTCAACAGAGACTTCAACATCATTTCCAGGCATCGTCTGGTCAGAAACATTTCTGTTCACAGGTACAATGGGTACTGGACGCATTAAAATATCAATCTGCAGTAGTGTCGACCGGAAGCGTCTGTTGGCTAGCAATCGTATTCGCATCCGATACAATGGCCGCTAAGTCGCTCTCCCTATCAGTGTCAGCTGCATCTGAATGAGATGCATAAAAGGATACATCAGAACCAAAGGTGGAGTCGTTGGCACTTTCTTGTTCACGCGCTGGCTCAGTAGTGACTTGAGATTCGGAAAGTAGTTCGCGGTCTCGACTCAAACAATTCAGCGCATGCTTCCATGTATTCGATGGGTTGTTTGATGCATGCTTCTCTAGTAAAGCACTCACCATATTCTTCGCACGATTTGTGACAAAGGAAGACATTTTGATAATATAGAGATATATTCTCAAATTATGTGTGTTTAAAGGATATGTGTTCTCACGAGTATAATCTATATTAACGTACATAACACAGTTGTCTGCATGTATGTCGGTTGCCAATACACAACATACAATCATATCTATTTAATAAACATTGAAAAGCCCGCCCTAACAGCGTATGGCGGGCTTTCTTGAACACCAGTCAAAAGACTTTCTACAATTCCTTGTCGAACAACAAAGTACGTTTTCTAGCTATTTTTTGCACTTTACGAACTATTCAAAACTTTACCGTACTACTTTATTCATTATGAAAGTTTTCCGAGGGAAGTGAACCTCAACTGATAAACATTTTGGATTATATAAAAACAACGCGAAATCATACAAGCAATTTCATTGATTCTAAACTTTACTGGGTTAACTTTATTACTATTTTTTCCAGAACTATATCTCGTTTAGACGGGCCCTTAGGCCTGATTTGCCAACTTAAATAAATATTGAGAAAATATAGCCCTAATAAATATTCAGGTATATTTTGGTATATTTCCTATGAAATATTGGAGCGCTATATTTCATGAAAATTTCGAAATTCATGCGATATTGTATTTGAAATATTGTAGAATGTTCGCACAGTATTTTTATACTTTCAGTTGGCAAATAAAACCGAAACAGTGATGGAACATTTGGATTGGTACAAATTAACCCGAGTCCTCCCATTGGCAGTAGTGATTCCTTGAAGGTTTTTAGAGATTTTGCTTTTTTTTTTGGCGCGTAAATTGTCGGTCTTGGTCTTAAAAAGGATAGCATGTTTGTCAAACGTGCATAAAAGCTGGAGTAAATCCTAAAAAAGACTACATCATTCTCTACCTGACTTAGCATGACATAATTAAGATACGTTTTGTACATTTTCTTAGACGCTTTGGAGACAGACCTTATTTAAATATTCTTAATAAGAATCCATCTCCAAAATCTATCATATTTCTTAATCCAGTGGCAATTCTTGATCAAATATCCAATATTTGTGCCGCAAAATTATTTATTTTAAGAATAAGAAATTCTATTTATTCAGTACTTAATAATTGCATTTCTTTAATTTTGATCCCTTACTTTTAGGGTGGTTCTTAACGAGAGGTCTCCATTAAAAGTAGATAAAATTAAAGGGTACTTTTGCGACGGTCCTTGGCTCAGTTTTTTTTTTTGCCATCCCAGCCGTTGGAATTGAAACCCTAAATATTGAGAATAAAGCCATCCTAGTGGTTGATGAAATCCAATAAAAATTAGTATACCTATGGCGCTCAAAATATACGAGCAATGCTGCGTCTTTCTATTGGTTGCAATATGGTAGAATATTGAGTGTCAAAGCATCGTTGTGTGAGCCGTTTTGACATTTTCACATTTTGTAAACATACTTTTTAGTTTTTGTTTGTTATAGTATACTAGAGTACAGTACATCATTGCATACATACTTTATGAATCTTCTGTTGGTTGTAGTGTATAATACTATATACAGGAAGTAGTTCATAATAACAATGTCGCTCTTAAAGAACAAGGCGGTAACACACAAGCGACGAGTGATGATGTCTAAACTTTACTTGCTGCTGAGAGCAATGGAAAGGGATAGAGTGGGTGACGGATTTTCCAGCTTTCAGGTGAAATGCAATAGAGGGACGCTTGTTGCTCGTACTCGCGCGAACTGGCAAACACTCTGCGCTCTGCTACAAGCAGAACGCAGCTTTGAGAACACTTTTCGTATGAAGTACCCAAAGTTTTTGTTTTTTGCACGTGAGATAAACAAAACATGCAGAAGAAACAAAAAGATGGGAATGTTGAGAGGAGGTACAATAGATGTGGACGTACAACTTGCTGTCTTCCTGCGTATAGCAGCCGGCGGAAAATACCAAGATATTAAAATTGCGTTTGGGATTTCTTCTGCTGCTGTTTACTACATATTCTGGAGAGTTTTATACGCAATTGATGGTTTGAGTTTCCTGTATTTCCGCTTTCCAAAAGAGGAAGAAGAGATTTCTAAAGCAGCAGAAGAGTTCAAATCACACTCTACTCACGGGGTGATTAGCCGTTGTGTTGCCGTCGCCGATGGCTTATTTGTGCGCGTAGCTTCTCCTCCATTAAATAGATGTCAGTATAGGCGTCGTTTATATTCTGGACATAAGACTGGTTATGGGCTGAATGCCCAAGCCATGTATGATGCAAACTTTAAGTTTGTTGCATTTTCTATCACGGCATATGGTAGTTTGCATGATCGTCGAGCTTGGGAATATAGCAGGTTTGACCTGCTAGTGGAGAATTTACCCATGTTTTACTACGTACTGGGTGATGCAGCCTACAGATGTACCAACCATATGCTTACACCCTATCCTGGCACTCGTGAAGCATTGGGCGATGCATGGGACGCATACAATTATTTCCAGTCCCAATCTCGCATGCATATCGAGCAGGCCTTTGGAATTATGGTCCGAAAATGGGGCCTTCTATGGCAACCCTTGCGTTTAGATTTTAAACGCGCTCCAAGAGTTGTTACAGTTCTAGCTAAGCTACATAATTATTGTCTATCAGGGGATGGATATAGACGAACTAATAATTT